AATTTTTCTCTATAAGGTTTTATAGCTTTCATTGTAAAAGTCTTTACCTTCCTGACTAGGTTTGTTGCTAAGTTTTGTTAAGCAACTGCATATGTTGTTTTTCTCCAAATTTCACTCTGCATTTGCACACTATGGATATACAGAAAAGCAGCTTGTTTTTTCGAGAATGATTGAAGCACTACAAATGTGTTTCTTTTTTATCAGCTCTAAGAGTTTGGAGTTTGAATCTTTATGTTCCTATGTATAACATCATATCATCTGTAAGGAATGATACTTTTACTCTTATCCTTCTATTTGAATTACTTCTCTCTCTTTCTCTTACCTTTTGGCTTTGGCTAGAAATTCCAGTACTAACTTGAAGAAAAGAGTGAGAATAGAGTTCTTTATTGAGGAAATTTGTATCTATGTTCATCAAAATAGTGGACTATATTCCTAGGTGATTGTTATTGTTTAGTCCCTGTATGGTGTCTGGGTGAGTGAAATGCTGCCATCATAGAGTAAGTTTGGTAGTAATCCTCAATTTCTACTTCATGAAAAAGTTATAGGAGAATTCATGTTCTTATTTAATGGTTGTATCTAGATATCAGCAGTGAATTTATCAGGTTCTGGCTTTTCTTTCTTGGAAGATTCTATTGTCATTTTTAGTTTTATTACTTGTTATGTACCTATTTCAGCACTTTTCAACTTCTTGGCCCAACTTTGGTAGTTTGATGCTATCTATGAATGCATGCATTTCTACTAGAATTTCCAGTTTGTTTGACTGAAGGCTTGTAAAGTATTCTGGAGTTAACAGCCTCAAACATACTTGAATTCTTGTCTCCATCTTCATCCCTCATTTATTTTGACTTTTCCTCTTCTTTTGGTCAGATTGTTTAAAGATTTATTAGTTTTCTCCATTTACTTTTTTTGTGAGGAACCAACCTTCAGTTCTGTGGATTCTTACAATGTAGATTTTTGTGTGTCTATTTTGTGTGTCTATTTTGATTGTGTCTATTTGTTTTTACGTCACTAGTTACTTCTATAATTTTTATCATTTTTTTCTCATACTTGTTTTGGCATGGGGGTTGTCATGTTCTTGTTTTCTAAGCAATTAAGGGATAACCATTAAGATCTTTCCATTTTAATGGTGTAAGCCTGCATAGCTATGAACATTTCTACTAGAGCAAGTCTCTGTGGCGTAATTGGTTAGCGCGTTCGGCTCTTAACTGAAAGATTTCTACTAGAAATACTTTTGCTGTGTCTCAAATATTCTGGTAGATTATTTTTCATTTCAATTAGATTGGAAGGACTTTTTCTTTTTTCCTTGTTCAGTGTTCATAATTATGAGTATTTTTCTGTGGTTTCTTTTGCCATGCTTAAATTTCATTATGCTCTGATAAAATGCAGCAAGTGTTTCTATTCTCTTATATTTACTGGACTTGCTTTATGAACTAGACTACCATACTTTGGTCTTCTTGGGAGAATGATACTTGGAACAGTTGACAAGCATGTGTATTGCACAGGTGCAAGAGGAAATGTTCTGTAAACATCTGTGAGGACCAATTGTTCTATGGCATCATTGCACCTGAGGATTTTTGTTGTTTGTTCACAGATCACTTATCCATTGGTGCGGATGAGGTACTGAAGACTCCAACTATCATCATGTTGTGGTCTATGCTTTTTTATTTAAAGTCCAATAGTGTTTATCTAAATTGACTGCACTGACATTTGGTCCATAAGTTTGACATGTTCACCTGGCTGGAAATTTCCCTTCCTTAACATAAATTGCTCTTCTTTATCTCTTCTTACTACTTTTCATTTAAAGCTATTTTGTCAGATATGAGTATCACTATGCCTTCCTGATTCTGGAATCTGCTTATTTCACATACTTTTTTCCAATCTTGCACTCTAAGCCAGGGTTTGCCAGATAGATTATTTCTTGTAAACAGCAGAGAGTTGTGTTTTACCTTGTGGTTCAACTCACCATTTTATGTCTGTTAATTGGAGAATTGAGTCCACTGATCTTAAGTGTTAACATAGAGATATATGTAGCAATTCATGTTGTTTCTTGTCCCCTACCATATTCTGGTTTTGTCTCACTTTCTGTTTTCCTCTACCTACTCATCTGGCAGTATATGCTTTCTCCAATATTTTGTGATCATGGTTATTTTCTATGTTCAGTATATCTTTGTGTACCTTTGGTCATACTGCTTTAGTGGTAATAAACTGACTTTGCTTTTGTTTATCATTGTATGTATTTATTTGTCTCCAGTTTTAAATGAAAGCTTAGCTGGCTATTGTATTCTGGGTTGGAAGTTGGATTTGTGAGTGTTTGAAATACATCACTCCAAGACCCACCCCCCCTTTTTTAAAAATATTTTTCTGCTGAGAAATCTGCAGTTTTCCTGGTAGGATTTCCTATGTACATGATCTTACAGCTTTTACTATTATTTGCTTTCTGTAGTTGAGATTATCTATAATACATCATAGAGAGATTATATTCTTGTTTCGTCAGGTATTCTTAATGACTCTTTGTCACTAATGACTTTCTCTTTTTTAAGATTACAGAAGTTTTCATTAATTTTTTTTTTTTGGGTCCGGTCGTGGGGCCTGAACTCTGGGCCTGAGTGCTGTTCTTCAGCTCTTCAGCTCAAGGCTAGTGCTCTACCACTTGAGCCACAGCGCCACTTCCGGCTTTTTTCTTTTTGCTTATGTGGTGCTTAGGAATCGAACCCAGGGCCTCAGGCATGCAATGCAAGCGCTCTACCACTGAGCTACCTTCCCAGCCCCAGTTTTCATTAATTTGTTTGCATCTTCTGTGGCTCAGTTGATATGTCTCTTTAGATTTCTGTATCCCTTTGGTTCTCATCTCTGGTACTAAAAATTTTAAAGGCCCCATGTACCAATTCTGAAATGGTAGTTCTGGGTCTGTTATTAAGCTGTGGATTTTGTGCTCAATGTCAGTGGCCAACTGCGATGAAGCTCATGCCTAAATTCAATTTCCTTTCTACTGAATTAAGGTAATTTTAGTGAAGGGCATTTCTCTGAGAGTTAGTTCAGAATAGAATGAGGGGGAAGGTGTTCTTCTGGATCTCAGTAATGTACCTCATTTTATTCAAATTGAAAGACTTGACAGTGGCTCTTTTCACACTATTATCAGATTTCAAATGAAGTTCCATCAGCCTGTATGCTAGTTTACACCAACATTATCATGAAAAAGTCTAGTTCAACAAAATAAACTTCAGGAAATGGGTACTGAAAAGGGGTGGGGTCAAGGGGACAGGATTGCCAAATGAAGAGAAGAAGGGGGAAATTGTATATCTTGTAAGATTAAGTGAGGAAAGTAGTGGGTTGAGAGGGATGGGTGACAATGTTGAAAGGGATGACATTGACCAAGATGTATTGTATTTACAAACTGCTTTGCTGAATGGCAACTCTTTTGTACAAATAGTTAAAAATAACAAAATTAAAATAAAAAATTTCACCATAGGAACAATCTGGCTTTCTTGTTTTGCTACATTTGCAGCATTATGAAAAATTTAAATAGTTCTTAGAGATCTAAACTTTTGACTCTGCTCTAACTTAATTAAACATATATAAATGTGACTGAGCTACAGAAAGGGCATTTATAATCTTGATGTAAGCCAGATCTCAGATTTAGTGGTAAAGCTTAACAAATTTTTATCTTTTTAAAAAATCTCTGTAAGGATTTTCTTTGTCTTAGTAAGTAATAAAGATGGCCTTTTAAATGTTAGATTATTGCCATTTGGTGGAGGTAATTATCTGATCCTATTAACCAGCGCCTCAAGCCACTGGACAATTTGCTAACAAAATGAACAGACCTGCATTACGATCAATTTGTTAATTGTTAATGAGCCTTCACACCATTCTAATAAGTAACTTAATACTTTTGTGACTGTATTGCTGTTTCTATGTGGGGCCTCCTTTCTGAACCTGGAAAAGTTATTTTATGCTTAATCATTTCCATTTTTCCTTTCATCTTCCTGAAAGCAACAATAATTCTATTACTCTCAATAACCAAAGAAGCTCATAAAATTGCCAACCAAGAATAATGAAAGGACATTTAAATATCATGACATTAAAGCAACTAGATTCTTTAACTCCACTTATAAAAAATACTAATAATTCAGAGTTATAAGAAGTTAACATATATGGATCCTCCTGTTTGGAAATGATTGTAGTTGTTCAGGAGTGTTGCACACTCCCTTGATTTCTATGAATTAGATTTTAGATAAAACTTTCTTTGTGAGTGTGAGTGTGTGTGTGTGTGTGTGTGTGTGTGTGTGTGTGTGTGTGTGTGCTGGTCCTAGGGCCAGGGTGCTATCCTTTAGCCTTTTTGTTCAAGGCTATCACTCTATCACTTGAGCCACAGCCCTATTTCTGGCTTTTTAGTGGTTATTTGGAGATAAGAATCTTTCCTGCCTAGTCTGCCTTTATATCATGATCCTCAGATCTCAGCCCTCCTAAGTAGTAGGATTACAGGCATAAGCCACTAGAGCCCATTGAGACTTCCTTTTAATTGGTCCTTTTTCTTAATTAACTGAATTTAACATAAAGCTTCACAAAGTGAAGGGGAATGAGAGCTAGTGAGGTGATCTCAGCTTATCAAGCTATATGTCTTTTGCTCAATGTAGTCCATGATAACCCAGTACTGAGACACAACAGACATTGAAATATCTACAGAGCTTATAAAACCTATGAAGAGATCCCTCTCTTTTATAACTCAAATACTGCAATGAAATAAAATTGTATCTTCAACCAGTTCCAAGGCAGTAAATTAACAATTTATAATAATCTTTGAACAAAAAGCTACTGTTAGGAATGACATACAGCAAATGACAAGAAAGGGTTATTTTTCTTCCTATGGGTGCTGTGGCCATCTCTTCAATAGAAAAGAGGACACAGAACAGAGATATCATTCAATCATTCATGCACCCAAGTATTTTCAGCAAATTGCTGGATCACAATTTTTGAAGGATGTTGGAATATGTTTATCAAACTTGCCTTCTACAAGGTTTATACCAATTTATTTTCCCATCGGCAGAGTAAGAAAATTATTGCCTTCAGCATCCTACCAAATGGTGGCCTAGGAGATAACAAAACTGCTCATGACTTCCACTAGACCTGCTGGGATTCAGTAACAATCCCTCTGGGATGTTACTTTCCAGAAAGCCATTCTGTTTCTGACACACAGGTACAGTTTCACCTTGGATTTATACTTTTGATCAGTCTCATCTTTAAGCCTTGCTGCTGATATGGGATGTAGTTAGACAGAAGAACAGTGGTCTCATATGGAATAAAACCAGGAAATCTTGCTTTAAAGAGAAGCAAATTAAAAATGCTTGAATGATGGCTGTTAGTTTACAGCCACATAAGCCAGATCAGAACAAGGCTTTATGTAAAAGGCAAGAAAAATTTGGGGAGGGGAGAAGCAAAATGAAAAAAAGTCAAATGTCTGGAATTGAACTATTCATAAAATTCGTATATATCACTTGCTTTGGAGGCAATTATGTTTGTTCAATCTGTTTTTTGTTTATACTCAAAATAGCAACTAAGCGCCTGCTACAATTGCTATGTATCATCATGTATAGCTTTATCTAGTGAAAAAAAAAGGTACATCAGATGATTCTGTCCCTGTACCAGCATCATACATCACAAATTTGTGAACTTCTGGATACTAAGTGACACTGAATTGTTTTCATACAAGTTATAAAATCCAATTTCTAATAATTAAAAATATCCTGAAGCTATAAAACTTTACCAGTTAACCAAAGTTGGTATATTTTTCAAATAATATCTCTAAAAATCCATGCCTTTTCTGCTGAAAGATGAATTATCGCCTAAAGCAATATCCACAGATGACACAAACAATTTTGTATTGTTGGAAAAATACCTTCATCCCTCATCCTAAGACTTAATTGTGGCCATCTTTGTTTCTAAAATGCCCTTTTTAAGTTTCTCTCTGAATGATTGCACATACTTTGGATTTCTCTAATAACAGTATCAGTGAAGAATTGTTTTGAGGTAGCCAGAAATCATTTGAAAACAAGCATACAATACAGGCTAGGCCCCAAAAATCCCATTTGGAAAAAACAAGAGTAAATAACTGGAACTATTTGTTCTGTGGCCAGTACATATACTCTGAAGTGGAGCTACCGAAATGTGTGGAGGAGCCAGTGTCCTTTGAATAACATCACATGTGAAAACGGTGAAGGCCATAACATACTAAAGCTTACTTTGTTGAGAAATTGGCTCATTGCTCTTAATCAAGTACCAACACATCCACTTGGGTCTATTGCTGGATTTCAATGAAATTTTTAATAGTCTGCAAACAATTGTTGTGGCTATCTGTCCTTGGGCTTCATCAGAAAACAGAACAGAAAAACAGAGTTTTCACCAAATTTCCCAAAAGTTCATAACCAGAAACAACAACAAAAAAGTTTGGATGGCATACAAAAATGTATGCTCAAACCTCCCACACATGGGCTCGGAAAGTGGTTCAGTGGTAGAGCGTTTGCCTTGCATGCATGAGGCCCTGGGTTCGATTCCTCAGCACCATATAAGCAAAAAGCAAAAAGCCGGAAGTGGCGCTGTGGCTCAAGTGGTAAAGTGCTAACCTTGAGTTGAAGAGCTGAGGGACAGCACCCAGGCCCAGAGTTCAGGCCCTACGACTGAACCCCCCCCCAAAAAAAAATAAACAAAAACCTCCCACTCACTTGCAGGGAAACCTTGAATAAATTGACTTGGGCCATCAGCCTGTCTCTTTCCCCACACACTGGCAATAAAAATAACCTAAAGTCATAAATCCTATCACAAAAATAAGACCAAATGCACTGTCTGTCACATAGTGATAACTTAAGAAATGCTGATTTTATTGATACCTAGTTAAAAAGAAATACTGTGACTTAATCTCTCAAATAACCTGTTCACTGAAAAATGATCTTCAATCTCCTGTACTTCCTCTTCTACACAAGAAGATAGTCCCATCTTACCAACGACTTCTCTCATAGCTGTTGCCAGCAAGTTTCCTTCACATTATTTACCATGAAATATAGTTTTCATCTTAACATACTTCTATATATAATTTATCTCTTCTTCTATGATTTTCAATATGTGGTATGTACCACCATTATACCATTTTTTAATCTCTCCAGCAGGCAAATATTGTTTCTTTATGAGAATGAAAACAAGCTCATAAAAGAAATTTCAGGAGCTGACTCCCACTGCAAACTTTTGGGTACTCAAGGAAGATGAACAGCACTGATGAGGCTTTGGTGGGCATTATCATATATATGGAGAGAGAAATAATTGCAGAGCTCCATATTAATCCCCAGATCAACCTGGAGCTCTACTCTTCCTATGTCAACCTGCCCATGTCTTACTACTTTGACCGAGATGATGTGGCTTTGAAGAACTTTGCCAAGTACTTTCTTCACCAGTCTCATGAGAGAGAGAGCATGCAGAGAAACTGATGAAGCTGCAGAACCAGAGAGGTGGCCACATCTTCCTGTAGGATATCTAGAAACCAGAGTGTGATGTCGGGGAAAGCAGGATGAAAGTGATGGAGAGTGCACCTCACATGGAAAAGGATGTGAATCAGTCACTACTGGAACTGCACAAATTGGCCACTGACAAAAATGACCCCTACTTGTGGGACTTCATTGAGACTCATTACCTGAGTGAGCAGGTGAAATCCATCTTGGAATTGGGTGACCATGTCAACAACTTGCACAGGATGGAAGCCTCTGATCTGGCATGTAGAGTGTCTCTTTGACAAGCTCCCTCTGGGGGAGAGATAAGCCTCTGGCCACCAGGGCAGTGCATGCACGTTTGGGGTTACCATTACCTTCTTTATAAGTTTCAGCAGAACATCCTAAGTTCTTTCAGTTTGTGCCTTTCCTTCAAATAAAGGAATTTAGTTCCTAAAAAACAAACAAACAAAAAAGAACCTCAAGGAGAGCATGCAGGCCCTGAATCTAAGCTCTAAGACTTGCACAAAAGAAAACCAGAACAAAACCCATCACCCCTAAAATAGAAGAGTTCAAGGCTGCATTTCTGATCTGAAAGCATATGAGATCTTTTTTGAGAGACACTGTTAATTGGATGCTGCTAATGGAGTCACCTTGTCCTTTTCTTAGTGTTTAGAACTCAGGACCTTGCAATTGGCTGTGCTTAATTGGAGCTCCTCCCTCTATCCCTCCTGTGTGCGGACAGTATAGGAGAAAGGATTTGTGTGTGTGCTGTTTCTCTTTGAGCATCAAAAGAAAAACCAAGTCCGAGAGAGTCAAATCCAAAAACCGAAAATCAAAGCCATATCGATAATCCAAATCAGAACCTCAACAACTCACCATCAACCAAACACCTGAACTCCACCCTGCCGACTACCTATAAGAGTCCACCAGTCAGCACGTGATATACATACATATATATATATATATATATACATATATATATATATACATATATATATATATATATATATATTTTATAGCCAGGGTTATTGTGACCTCACGAAGGTGTCTGTGATGTCAGAGCTGCCAAGGGTCTCTGCCCGTGTGGGCGTCGCCCCCTGTGCCCATCTCAGTTCCTGGCCTTCAGGACGCTTCTTAGATGAGCATGCCTGGACTGGCCTTGCAGTCAGGGCCTGGGCACTGTCCTTTAGCATTTTGATTTTGATTTTGATTGATTTCATTATTGTTTTCATTTTATTGCCAGCCCTAGGCCTTGAACTCTGGGCCTGGACACTGTCCTTGCACTTTTTTTGCTCAAGGTTAGCACTCTACCACTTGAGCCACAGACCTACTTCCCGCTTTTTCTCTTTCTGTGTTACTGAGGAATTGAAACCAGGTAAGCACTCTACCCCTAAGCACATTCCCAGCTGCTGTCCCTGAGCTTTGATACTCAAAGCTGGTGCTCTACCAGCTGAGCCACAGCCCCAGTTGTATCTTCTTGGTGCTTCATGGGAGATAATAGTCTCAGGGATTTTCCAGCCCATGTCGCCTTTGCATTAGCATCCTCATATGCCAGCCTCCTGCTTAGCTAGGATTACAGGCCTTACAGTAGCCATATGCTTTCAAGACACTTACGTTAAACATAACTTATGTTCTCTTCAATAGGAGTCCACCTAAGTTTTCTTAGGTGGTTATGTAGATTGATATTTAATATTTCTACCTATGACAGGCTAGTCAGAGTGCCAATATCTAGAATCCTAGAGTGCTCAGATTCGTAATCCTAGTTACATGTGGTGTTGGAAGTGGGAAGATTGCAGTTGGAAGCCAGCATAGGCAAAATAGTCCATGAGAGTCCATGACAAGTCCATGCATCATGGTGCATGTCTCTCATCCCAGCCAAGGTGGCAAGTGACAAATAAGATGAAAGTTCAGGCTGCTGCCTGCTACAGAAGCACATCCCTTTCTCAAAAGCTACCAGCACAAGACTATTCAGTAAGAGAGGTACTCATTATCTAACTTATATAACTGCACCCTCTCTGTGTATCACCTTTACAATAAAATTTAAATTAAAAGAAAAAGAACAAATGATGACCACCAGCACAGATATGGCTGGAGGAGGCTTGACTCACTATAAGTTCAGCTTAAGCTCAAACACTTCATCAAAACTCAAACCTCTCATATTTCTCAGTATTCTGCTTTAATATTGATATTATGTTTAAGTCGAATGATCACATGAGGACTACTCTGAACACAGTATTTTTTCATTCTGTTTGGATGGATGTCAAACACGTGTCTGATGTGATATTTAGAATATATAAGCAGATTCATTGTGAACTGTGATCTATCTAGCTAAGGCAAAGATACCCTTCAGGATTTCCTAGAAGATTAGCATTAATTTTCTCATCAAAAACAAGGGAAGCCAGAGAGATGTAGGTCAATCTATTCAGCCTCAAAGATACTAATGATCAAACCCCAAATCTTGTCCACAGTAGTTGTTCCAGCATCTAGGTCCCTCAGAAGTGACACAAAGACTGCGGAATTTATTTTCACCTGCAGTTCTGCCCTGAACAACTGGGTTCAACTTACTTACAAGTATTTCTTAGAGATCTGAAGGAAGAACTCTGGGAAAGGTACAGTTATGAATGTTTATGCAAAGCAGGCCTCTTCATTTTCTTTTTTTTTTTTAAATTTAATTTTATTTGTGAACATACTATACAGAGGGATTACAATTACATGGGCAGGATAATGCATACATTTCTTACCAAGCATTGCAGCCTCCTCCTTTGTTTACCCTTCACATTCCTTCCCAGCCTCCCCCCTCCCCCCCAATCCCAATCCTTCTCCTTCCCCCTCATTCCCCACCCCTGCACCGATGTTGTAAAGCTCTTTTTGGACATGACAACTTGTACTTCTCATTGTTGCAACAGGTCCACCTGTATCCTTAAACAACTGGTTTTTCCCCATTTCCTCCACAAGTTATACTGACATCAAATATAGTGAAAGCAGGGGTTATACTGTGGGGGAGGGACATACAAAGCAACAAAGAGATAATCTTACAAATGCGTTAGAAACACATGCATGAAAGAAAGAGACATTAAAATACATATCTAAGGGTTCATGTTCCTGACGTCACATTATCTAACCTTTTCTGCTTGACTCATACATCTACTAGATATTGCAAATAAGGGAAACCATGGGACCTATGTTTCTTTGGGCCTGGCTTACTTCACTTAATATAATTTTTTCCAAGTTTTTCCATTTCCTAACAAATGGGGCAATGTCATTCTTTCTGATAGAGGCATAGATTCCATTGTGTATATATACCACATTTTCTTGATCCATTCATCTATTGAGGGGCATCTGGGTTGGTTCCATATCCTAGCTATGGTAAATAATGCTGCAATAAACATAGTTGTGCTGGTAGCTTTAGTGTGGTCTTGTTTGTAAACATTTGGGTAAATGCCCAAAAGTGGGATTGCTGGGTCATAGGGGAGCTCTATGTGAAGTCTTTTGAGGAACCTCCATACTGCTTTCCAAAGTGGGTGAACAAGTTTACATTCCCACCAACAATGAAGTAAGGTTCCTTTCTGTCCACATCCCCTCCAGCATCTGTTGTTGTTAGAGTTCTTGATTTTTGCCGTTCTAACTGCAGTGAGGTGATATCTCAATGTTGTTTTGATTTGCATTTCTTTTATGGCTAGGGATGTTGAACATTTCTTCATGTGTCTATTGGCCATCCTTCTTTCTTCTTCAGAGAAGTTTCTCTTTAAGTCTTTAGCCCACTTATTTATTGGACAGTTGTTTCTTTGAGGATTTGTTGTTGGGGGGTTTAATTTTTTGAGTTCCAAGTGTATTTTAGATATGAGACCCTTGTCCGTAGTATGGCTAGTAAAGATCTTCTCCCAATCCATGGGCTTTCTATTGATCTTGCTAGCTATGTCATTTGCCCTGCAGAAGCTCTGCAACTTTATGCAATCCCATTTGTCCAACCTTTCTTTGATTTGTTGTGTTTCCGGGTCTCTATTCAGAAAATTTCGGCCTGAGCCAAGGAGACCCAGGGTTTCTCCTATTCCATCCTGTAATGTTTTCAGAGTGTCTGCTTTGAGTTCAAGGTCTTTGATCCATTTGGAGTTGATTCTGGTGCAGGGTGATATATAAGGATCTAGCTTAAGTTTTCTACATGTAGTTAACCAATTTTGCCAGCACCATTTACTGAAGAGGCTGTCTTTCTTCCATTCTATTGTTTTAGCTCCCTTATCGAAGATTAGCTGGCGATAGGTCTGTAGGTTCATTTCTGGGTTTTCAATTCTATTCCATTGGTCCTGAGGTCTGTTCTTATGCCAATACCAAGCTGTTTTGATTACTATGGCTTTATAGTAGAGTTTGAAATTTGGTATTGATATTCCTCTAGCAGTGTTCTTTCCGTTGAGGAGCGTTTTTGCTATTCGAGGTCTTTTATTGTTCCATATGAATTTTTGGATTGCCTCTTCTATTTCCTTGAAGAATGAGGGTGGAATTTTGATAGGTATTGAGTTGAATTTGTAGATAGCCTTGGGAAGTATTGCCATTTTCATGATGTTGATCTTTCCAATACAGGAGCATGGGAGGTTTTGCCATTTTGTAAGTTCCGTGTTGATTTCCTTTTTCAAGATTTTAAAGTTTTCATCATAGAGGTCCTTCACTTCTTTGGTTAAGTTAATTCCTAGGTATTTTATTTTTTGTGGGGCTATTACAAATGGAGTTGCTTTCCTAATTTCAGCCACACTTTTCTCATTGTTGGCACACAGAAAAGCCATTGATTTTGGGGGGTTAATTTTATAACCTGCTACTTTGCCAAAGTTTTGAATCAGCTTGAGTAATTTGGGAGTGGAGTCTATGGGATTCTTTAAATACAAGATCATGTCATCTGCAAAGAGGGAGAGTTTTATTTCTTCTTTCCCTATTTGGATCCCCTTTATGTCTGCATCTTGTCTTATTGCTGTAACTAGGCATGACCTCTTCATTTTCTACGTAATAGAAGCAACTCATGCAACCCCAATCCCTAAACAGTAGTGATTTAAGACACCTATTGCAT